GTGTCCCTGCCGTGAGGTGAGGTTTGCGCTGTGCCCCGTGCTGCTTCCATCTTGTGCCCCCTTGTGAGGCGCTTTGCGCGTGATGCCCCATGTGAGAAACGCTGACTTCGTTTGCCGGGTGTTGAGGGGAAAACAAAAAAAGAAAAACACGTAACTTTCTCCTGGAAACTTCAGAGGATGACAAAGTTCCAAAAATGCTCCGGAGGGTCCTCGTGCAGCTGTCGCTGAACAGCATGAAATCTGCCAGTATCTGCATCGGCCGCCCGGTCCTGCTCACCAGTGCGGCGGGAAGGCAAGAGGTGAGAGCCCTCCTCGTCTCTCTGGGCACTGTGCCGCATGGCTGATTAATACATTCCACCTGTATTCCATAATGGACCAAAACGGAGCGCACATTTGCAAATACAGTGAATGTTATATTCTGTCTTTTACACTGTAGTTAGTTACATGTTTCTTCTCAGAAAGCACTTGTTAGTGCTTTAGGTACATACATATATATGGTTATACATGTGCACAGCCATGCATTTAGTTTGTGAAGAATAAACTTAGCCTTTTATTCTTTATACCAGTAGTTTTGTCCATTTTCCAAGTCATGACTGTGTGTTTTGTGTTTTCTGTAGCATATATGTAAAATCTGTGTGGAAAATTTCTGTCTTTTCTATGCAAAGCATAACTCTCTTGTTTTTAAAAGGTAACTTAGTGAATATCTTAAGAACTCAGTGCTACTTATGTCTTAGCTGTCCATTGAATCAGTCTTTAACCATATACTTCTTTTCTCCCAGCCTATGTTGTTATTAAAAACACTTAATCTTTTTTTTTTTTTTTTTTTTTTCCTCTCCGCTCATCTCTTGGAGGACTTAGAAGGAGGGAGACCAAAAATCTCCTAAACCAGTGACAGTTGTTTTTGTTGACATTCTTCCTAGGTCTGTACAGCTTGGCCCACAGCGGGCTTTCCGGGAGGCAAGGTTGGACTGAGTGAAACCACACAGAAGAACCTGAAAGTGAATCCCGGAGATGCAGTCACTGTGCAGCCTGTGACTGGGGCGGTCATCCAGGCAGAGGAGGTAGATGTGAAACTGAGGTATGGGACTTGCCAAAACCTGCTGATGAGGCATTGGAGCTGCACAGCAGGCTCTCACCTTTTAGAAGATAACGTTTTTCTCTCTCTTGTTTTGGAAACTAATATGCACAGTCACATGTGCATGGTGTTCATAGGGTTAAGGATAAAATGTAATAACTGGTTGCTAAATGCTGCCAGAAGAAGTGTTCCTCCTTTCTTCCCTGTGTAGTGCCACCCTTCTATTACTGGTCCATTTTTGTGCCATACTGGTCCATCTCTCTGGGCCTGGCAGCAAATTAAATAAACAAAATGAAGATAATTCCATGCAACTTGAGCAAGCTGATTAGGTAGGTGATTGCCATGGCTACTTCAAGAGAAGCAGAGAAGGAGACAAAACCAAGTAGGGCCTCGTCTGTGCGCAGCAGCATGTTGCTCGAGCGGCTCAGTTGTCTTAAAAAAAATCTCAGCTAGTGCTGTTTTGGAGGATGGGATGCTACCGTATCCATTAGTCATAAGAGGTTTGTCATTTTATGTTAAATTAGTAAATAGTAACCCTGGCCCAGTCCTCCTGAAGTCGAGGTCAGGCTGCCTGTGTTACATCTGATTGAGGCAAGAGTGTTCAAGTGCATGATGAAGGTAGTTTTTTCTCAACTTCTGAATTGCTCATAAAGTTGATGTCAGGTTAGAAAGGACCAGAAGGAGCTCTTGCCTGTGTTGCTGCTAACAGTTTGCAGCACAATTCCTAACGACATATGAGAAGCTCTTGTAGCCTTTTGCAGCTAATAGAACTACTGGTTGTCAGGGTGGGGGGAGTGTAGGACTTTCAGTCATTTCTCTCCAAGACTTTGGTTTTGTATTGCCTTCTTTCATGCTTTGCTTTTCTTTGTTGGATTTTTTTTAAGATTGGAAACTCTCACAGTTTTTCTCTCACAAAAAGGGGAGCAGAAGGTAGAAATCAAAATCATCTCGAAATTACAAAGATGTTAATATTAGCAGTTTACTCATCTGGTAATTTTTTTTGGTCATTTTCACAACAGGCCACTGAGTCAGAATTTGGGTTGGCAGGGAACCTGGTTATAGTTATTTCTCGAAGTTATTTTATAGTTGTTTTGAAGGAGCCCCCAAATACTAATTTCTGCAAGTCCTTTTCTGCCTTGTCAAACTTTAGTTTCTGAGTGGGACCTTGTTTTGAGAGATGCTGTTTTCCTCGAGTGACTCGTGGAAATGTTGGTGAGGTGACCTTGATTTGTCAATGCTGTAATCAGTCTAGTGTTAATTACAGCTTTGCCAGTTAATGTGGCTGTGTATTCTATAGTGATTCCCTCTAGTCAGCTTGCGTTTCCCTTCATGCCTGTGTTCTCACCAGAAAATGAAAATAATTATGTAATTTCTGCTATGTTGCTTTTAAGCCTGTAAGAAGTTTCATTATTATTACATGCTGTTTGCTTATAGAAGTGATTGAAAACACTCATTTCATTAAAAATAAAATCAAAATAATATACTTGTTAAATAAGCATATGCTGTAATGTAGGTATTGTAATATAGGTACTATAATTACTAGCTTTGGGGAGCTGTTTGTGCTTATGAATTATTATTCTATCTTCAATCTTATCATATCTTCATATATCAATATAAAAGATATTATCATATCTTTTTAGCTAAAATCAATTTCCCAACCTACTAATCTAATTAAATACGAATTAATTGTCATGTGGCTCTGCTATTT